GTTCAAACTTACATATCCAAGGACTACCCCTGTATTCTGTATAGTATTAGAGATTAGGTTTTGGACTCCATGTCCAATTCATCATTCAATCCTCGAGTGTAAAAGGCTGTGTTTAAAAAGAGACAGGAAACAAAGCAGTTCTTGGGAAATTACTCAACATGTCAAAACAATGGCTAAAACTTTGTTTAAAAGAAGGCATTGTTTGGATTTGAAATAAGGTTGTGTGAGTAGTGGTATTTTCTAGTCAACAGCACCATTTATAAATTAGTATAGCTATCCTCAAACCAAAAAATGTCCTTCCCACTTGTGAGCAGTTCAAGAAGGGAAAGGTAGGGATTTTGAAGTTGGTGATGAGTGTTGCAAGACAGTTGTCTTTTTTACTAGTCTACATTTCAAGAATAATAAAAAAGTTTGGCAGATACAGGTGCTGCCATCAGAGTGCCTTCCTTCTAATCAGAAGTTCAAGAATAAGAAAACAATTGGTAACAGGTGTGGCCAGAGTATTGCTTTCCCTCTATTCATGAGCTCAAAATTAGTCTATCACGTAGCTTTGACTTAACAACAAAGACACATATTTTGATTACTCGAACATTTGTACAGGTACAATAAATAGGAAGTCAAGATCCAAACTTGTTACTTTATGGTTAGAGCTATAAAAACTTGTGGAATGGTTTGTTGAATGACTTGAATTTTTCAAGAACAAGATTATGCATGTAAAGGACTATATTTATGTTTAATTATTATTTTGTTTTTGTATCTGAGGGGGTGACACTTATTGACCCAAATGATGTCTCATTGACTCTCATGATGTCAGAGTAATTTTCACAGCTAAGCACAGGGCATGTGATCTCTGGAGAAGTGAGAGGGTCAGTTCATTTTGCCAACAGATACAGCTTCTCTCACCTGAGGAGGGGCTGGGTACTGCTTCGTGAAAATGTGAAACAGACAACTGAATAGATACCAACACAACTTTCACTCTAAATTTACTTTATCTATTTATTCACATGACCAATGAGTACCCACAAGGTATAAACAAACAAACCTATTCGTCTTTAAAATTCTGTACCATATAACTTGTACTGGTTGAAAACAATTATCTTCTTCAACTTGGCAAGTTTCCCAAGATACAAAAACGTTCGTATTTCCTGTGATGAAATAATCTGTCATTCATTTGTCAGTATCATTGACTCAATAACCTACCAGTTCAGGCTATGTGTGAAGCAATAATTGTAATAATGTTCTTTCACCAAAGTTTCACTTCTTGTGAGCACTATGTTGGGTATGTTCATTAATCGGACAGGCTGCCCAACAGATTGTTGTTTTGGCTGACAAAAATATCTTTATCTACCAACACTGAGGATTACAAGGCAGTGTTGTTGATTAATAATAGGTGGACAAAATTTTGATTTGATAGACTCAGAATAGAATCCAAAAAATTGCTTCAAAACCATACCAAATGACAAGAGAATTCCATGGAAAATAAGTTACAGTCCAGACTCACTGACACAGCATTAACGTGCAACATCCGAATCAACAGCATCAAAAATGGAAACACATCCAACATTGTCTTTTTCTTCTTCTAAAAATCTACAAAAATATGCATTATTTTATGAGGAATTTAGAGGTCTAAAAATGAATAACATCCAAAGAAGTTATGATTGTTTTTTTCAGTAGGGTTTGGTGATTTTTTTACCCTAATTCAGACAATGGTCATGGAAATTATAACACATCAACTATGGGAAACTCACCATTCCCAACTTTTTGAGAAACCTTTGAGGACCTGTGGGGAATCAACAAGTCAGAATCTCTGAGTATTTGTTCTTGTCAAGATGAAGCAAGGTTGGATTCAAAGCTAACCTGCAAATGTAAAGTAACAAAATGACCAAAGTATTATAAGTGTAGCAGGTGTGGATGAATCACAATGACACACCAGTTGGTCATAAAGTGAGATGTCACACACACTTCAGCAGAGGGTGCTGTCAAGACCTTATAAAAGTATGTTTGTGAACAGGAGCAGTAAACTTATAACTGTATCTGATGGTTTACCCTCTAACAGGGAAGACAGCAAAAACGATTCAATTATTCAAATGAGAAAAATGATGCAAGATCAAGTAAAGAACGAAAAATACGAAGACTTTTTCTGAGTAAAGGGCACAAATATTACAAGGATAAGAGAGCACTGCTAAAATAATGGTGAAATAGCAAATAGGTGATCCATTTTAGTGAGAAAGAAACATCTTACCAATTACTCAGATAAAAAAAAAAGCATGGCAAAATGATTCTTGGATCATGCCCCACACAGTCACGTATCTCGATCTCAGGCTTGCAAGTTTCCAGATCTAAAGGAATACCCCATCACCTACCAAAATTTTCTGCCGGTGAGACAGAAATTACTTGTTAAAACTTAAATAGTGCTACTAACACTCAATGTTACTAAAACTAAAAGTGATAACGACAATTGTTAAAAAATAATGAATTATTGTAGTAAATACTGAATCCGAAAAGCTCTTTATTTTTCTAAAGTTTATATACGTACAATAATATAAGATAATTGTTTTGTTTTTTAAGTATTTGGTTATTTTCATTTAGTTTAAGTTTAATTTTTAAAGGTTACAAAACTTTGTAGCCTACAAAGTTAGGCCTACCAATACTTCTATTTACTTCGATTTTAAAATCTATCACTTACCTCCGCCATAGACGCCTCCACTCATAGTTATTGTATTTTCAGGTCAATTTCAGACGTCTAATGTACAAATAAATAAATCTATGTCAAAGACAAAGAGAGTAGATCAATGATTATCCTGTACCTAACTTTCAAAAAACGCAGTTTATCTTAATTCAAAAAATCTTTTCCCAGTTCAACATTGTCTCAACTACGCAGTGATGTACAAATCTCGTTCATAGAGGACACACGAGACATTAATTTTAATGTCCAAATTATCCAAAGATATTAGAAGTTGAATTAAATAAATATTTTTCCCATTCGTTTAAAATTCAAGACACTTGTGTAAAGAACTAATTAAAACCAAACGATCAATTTCAAAACGTTGATCGTTTGATTTTAATTTTTTTCCTAATGATTTGTCTATCTTTCGTTATTGTTAAGCGCAAAGCTACACAATTGGCTATTTGTGCTCTAGTCACTGCAAGTACCGAAACCCGATTTTTAGTGTTACATGCCCTTAGACTTACCGCTGAGCCACCGGGTTCTTCCGTAGGACCAAGTCAGAGTAAAACTAAAGATTTTTACTAATATAATAGAAATATGAAAGTATCAGTTGTGAAACCTTGGGTTTTGATAATTATGCCCTGTATAAAACTAATGAAAGTGGTACAAAGTTCACTGTTTTAAAGAACAATAGGGTGAAAGTTTACAAACACACGCGTTTATAAGTCTATAGAACGTTTTCATCCACATATAATTTTAATATATATACTAAATATATGTCTAATTTAGCTTGGGTTCATACACTATCTGGTCAAATAATAGAAACTCTGTTCTTATAGAAAGTTGAGCAACTGTGTGCATTAATCATAGGCTGAACCTGTCATGACATAGACTCCGCTAGTTTCTGGGGTAATAATGTTTGAGTTTTAGCTCTTACGCAGTACGTCCCATAGATTCTCAGATGAGTTAAGGTATGAGGATTGTACTTCGCTAGAAAAGATGGTAGAACTTCTTCTTACGCTCTTAGAACAAATCACAAATAATATAGGCACAGTGGATGGTTGCATTGTCGTGTTGAAAATTTCCATCACTTTGAGAATTAAAATGCAGCATCCTCGGATGTTCAGATATTTCCGTGACGTAATATGATATTCAGGGAAGCCAAGTGAAATAGTCTGTCTTATGAGAATGCACCCCATGTTATTGCCTCACTCACTTTCAACAACGTAGACAGTGGAAGTAACATGAGAGGTTTCCAAGACTTAATTGAACTGTCACAAATTTTGACTCATCTTTAGAGAATGGCAAGTATCAAGATTCATTTTATCATATGACACACTTCAACAGTCACATCCTGATAGTCTTTGCACTACTTGTAGATGCACCTTTCTGTTGGTAGCTGAAACGTACGGTTTACATAATTCTTGTTGCAATGGGTGATCCTGTCCATGTCATCTATCAATTTTTGTGTCGCAGTATGTTTATTAGCCTTCATAACTGTCGTTAATTGCCGTATATACTTGCCTCAGAGTAGATTCTTCTGCCCGCAGTTTCTCCTACTTACAGATTTGTATTGAGTATTCTGCCGTTCCATATAGATTCCTGAAGTGGTTGCCTTTGAATTTCAATGCTGTTTTTTGATAGGGGCTCCAACATATCGATCTCTGATAACAATACCTCTTTGAAGTCAGACACATCCCTAATTTTTCCAAACTTAATGAAGAATAAAACACATAAAACGTGCTTATCATATTTGAACAGTCAATATAGTCAAGGGGCACATAATACCTGATTACTCATCAAATATTGGGATAAAGAGTGAGTCTTTTAGTTAACGAATAATCAGTGCATAATACATTGGGTTTACCTTTTGTTGGCAGCCAATTAGTTAGTTCAGTCCTGTATATTTTGTGTTTGTGTTTGCAACGAAGTGCTAGAGATATGCAATTAGCAAGTAAGTGAAATTTATGTTTAGAAGTTGTATATTTGTGAACTTATGCCTAACGTTAGTTGCATAAAACTGCGAAACTTGTAGAATTTGTAATCAAATAAATAAAACACTTTTGTTATCACTATTTATGTATTGTGTATTATGCATGTGTTTTGATCAAAAGTGTATTATGGGCGTAAGAAATATTATAGATACAATGAATATACCAAGAAATACGAGTAATATGGAAAGCTACAGAACCATTAACGTGAAAATGCGTGACACCAGCTCCTTACTTGATATGACTTTCGAACTTTGAAGATACAGGCGAATTTCACTCGGCGTCCAAAATGCGATGCTCAATATGGTATGAAAAATATTGATCCTAACAAATAGAAAATCAAAGCAGTTTTTATTAAGTTTGGCTGATAATCTCCCAACTTTTCGATTGAGCAGGTGTTCAAGCAGTTAAAGGATACAAACTTGCATAAATTTTGAAGATAAATAGTTATGTCACTTTATGAGACCGAACTGTTTGGTAACTAAGAGAAGCAGCAGCAAGCATCTTTGACCAGATGAAGAAGTTCTTTGGCAGTACACAATTAAATTTGGAGATTTCTAGCTGATAGCACCATATCGCCAAATGAACTTTGTGCTAGTAACAATACTGCCATTTATCAACACCAAAGGTTTAACATTGAGATGTGGTAAAAGTATTACAAAATGTATGGAAACTTTGGCGTTTCAGACGTATTTATTTGGTTCAAAGCACATTCCCCTTATGCTTAAGAACCGTTCTCAACAAACCAGCAAATTTGATCAAATGTCTCGTTGTTTTGTAGCGTACATGAAACGGCAAATAAACTTCCTGCAAGAATGGTCTAATGTATATTTCATTGATTTATTTTAGCAATACAGTTTCTCACTATGGGACCCAAAAAGCTAATGAAGCCCTCATATATTTTTATATTAAATACATATTTTTTTTACTTGCTAGCTAACATTAATATAAATATGAATGTTTTGAATTCAAGGCATCATGTAGTGCCTTGTTACATTAAAATATTATATAATCTACTTTTATTTCTCTATTTAGCGCTTTCTGGTAAATGATATTGCTCTGAAAAAGGATGACTGCCTTGTCAGAAGTCCCACGTTTGGAAAAAGACATTGCATGACCAGAAGGCACATCAAAATTTCCGTAATGCATTTTCAATATCTAATATCGATATACATCTCATAGAGTCAAGTAAAATAGCGCAATAAATCAGTTTTCAAAAGTCAATCAAATAATGTAAACAAAAGTGCCTTTAAAATGTTCTGCAATGAACTTTCTATGCTGTTTGATGAATTTTGGTAATTTAAGTCAATAAAGAAAAAAGTTCACTAAAAATCTTTCTGGGGGATATTTAAGACTTCTATTTGTAAAAATCTTGAGACATGTGCTTTAATATATTAAGATGTTCAATTTTAACATATTTTGTACAGTCCGACAAACAAAACGTTTGTTTGTATTTAAAACATATTTTTTCCTATGGGCAAGAACCAATCGCCGTTAGAGGACACCTCTGCCTTTAAACTGTGCTGAATTTATGGGTAATGTTACGTCTAGGCTATGCGTAAATAACGAACGCGTTGCAGTAAAATTACTGTTGTTACTTATCCTTTTACTAATGACTAATCAGCAAGGTTCAAGCCAAAGTGGTGAAGATTTCAAATTAAAAGGTAATAATGAAGCATTTTGCTCTAGACTGAACTCAGTGTTCGATGGGTTAAATCCGCTAGAAAGGCAACACAGAGAGTGGGAGACTATGCAAAGCAGCAAACGTACGAACTGGTTGAAACCAGATCCCGAATCATTAGAAGACGTAGAATTTTCTCATAATGATAAGTTTGTCAGACCACGTGGATTTGCGCCTAAGAAAAGAAAAGTTGATAATAAAACCATGCCAGGTTTTAAAAGACATCCTGAAAAATGGACTAAATATTCGTTAACTGACGTATCGTCATATGAAATGTCTGACGAGTCAAATTCACAAGTAGCCTTATCCTTCTTAAAACAACTAAAGAAAGAAAAGAGTAAAGGAGAAAACGAAAAATTACCAGTAGCAGACGTAAACACAAAAATAATTTTTCAGAAGCCTGGCAATAGACCTCCAAAAAGTTTGAAAAAGAAAGATACTGAAGTTAATGAAACCACATGCTATGTAATTTCTAACACTACAAGTGATACATCAATCACAGTTAGTGATACTCTGGAAACTTGTACTAATTCCAGTGTTTCTGGGAAACTTCTTATGCCAGAATGTGTTGTGGGATTACCAACAAGTACAAAGTATAAAAAGAAACTGAAAGATGTGTACATCCAAAATAAAGATGGTTCTTGTAGTCATCATTCTGGTCACCTTGTGAGTTTGGATCACTTGAATGATTATGAAGAGGAAGCTGAAGAAGAGGAACTAAACAAAGAATCTGTTTGTGTAGATAACACATCCAGATCTGTTGGGAAGAGAAATTATAGATATGGGTGTGACGGAGGTAGTAAATACGACAAATTAAATTTGTTAAAGATGGAAACTGAAAACGAGTAAGTTCCATTTAGTCTGCACAAGAAAGGCATGTGAATATCCCGCTTGGTTGAACATTCATCCAGTCTGACAGAAATGCTTTTTGAATTGTCAACAAAATTCATTTTGAAGTTGCAGGCCCATTTTAGTTTTGTGGAAAATGCATAACTTGCCGTTTAGAGCTTCCACTTGAGATAAAATTTTAAACTTTTCTAGCTCCAACACCATATGTTCTGGTTTTAATGTAAACTCACAACATCTCCTCAGTTGTACACAGATTGAATGCACTATCTTTTCTGTTTGTCCATTTTTTTTTTGTTTTTACACTGAGTTATTTGAATGAAAACAGACTTGAAATTCAAAATGTAATTTTCATTATTTTCTTTTGCATTCTTGAAAAACTCATTTTCATGAAGTATTCTTATTTTCTGTTTGTAATTTTGTCTCTATTCATGCCATAAGGACTGGGTGCCGAGTTCTTCATACCACCCACCTATATAATCATATATATATGCTTTATTTTGGCTTTGTTGATGTGAACACTGATGTTTCTATGCCATTACTAATGTATTTTTTTGTTGGAATTAATTCATTGTCAATGTGTCATAATGCCTTTTTTTATTAAGATGTATAAAAAAATTGTTATATGTTTAACTAAATGAACTTTCATATTCTTGTGGAGTGATCTGTGTTCATAAAGCAAATAAATAAAACAGGAAATCCTTATATTTCAAGTCATTCTTGTATCAATGCATGCTTGAATACAAAATATTTATGTAACTGTTGTGCAAGTATTGTGGCAGGCATGGAAAATGTTTCTTGAGAATTACGAGTTTGATTTCATAGTCTCTTAAATGCTGAAATAAAATACAATTGTGTAGGTTACCAGTGAATTTAATATGTGTATATTTTTGAATCAAATTGAAAAATAGTTCTACAATTATGAGGACTTTTTTTTATTATACCTAGTTCCTGTGAAATACAAAACTTTTTCCCTTGATAATTTCTTTATGCAATGGTTGATTCTGTGAATTTTCATTTTGATCTGGTTAAAAACTTATTTTAAACTCTTATTTTGCTAATGACAAATTCTATAACTTTCAAACTAACAGTAGGTAATAGTAGCAGACATTGCTAGACACTTGGAAAACATTTCCCATACTGGGACTTTATTGTTTATTATTTGTCAATTATTTCAATAGTTTATTGAACATTAACGTTTTTTTAATTTGCCGATGATCTAGTACAATATTGGGAAAGACTGATACCCATAGTAACTAAGCCTAAAGGTGGAGGATAAGTTTACGTATTAAAGGGTATAGAGAGATGCTTTTGGGAGCAACTTGGAAAATACTAAATTCATATGTGGTAGAAGTATTGTTGTGGAAAAAAGATGAAGCTTAATTGTTGAAGAGAATTGGAGGATCATGAAAAAAACTAGCATTTATATACATGTTAACAATGTGGGTAGTCCATCAGCTGAATCAATGGTATTATTTTATATTGGTTTATGAGTTTCTTGTCAGTTTGTCAAGCAGAATTTACTTGTGTTTGATCAGAAGTTAATAGTTTTCTCATGAGTACTAGAAGTGACTTGGTTGATGTATCTAAAATCATTAGAAGTTTCAATGATTGGAGTGTTAGATATAAGTTTTTAGAAAGTCTAGATTAAAATGCTTGTTACTTAAAAATGTGAAGTTTTTTACTTTCAGTGAGAAAGTTTCACAAAAGTCTGCTCTATACAGCTTTTAGTCATTTTGAGCAGGTCTGACCTACTGTACTTTTAGTGGTTTCGAGCAGGTCTGACCTACTGTACTTTTAGTGGTTTTGAGCAGGTCTGACCTACTGTACTTTTAGTTATTTTGAGCAGGTCTGACCTACTGTACTTTTAGTTATTTTGAGCAGGTCTGACCTACTGTACTTTTAGTTATTTTGAGCAGGTCTGACCTACTGTACTTTTAGTGGTTTCGAGCAGGTCTGACCTACTGTACTTTTAGTGGTTTCGAGCAGGTCTGACCTACTGTACTTTTAGTGGTTTCAAGCAGGTCTGACCTACTGTACTTTTAGTGGTTTCGAGCAGGTCTTATCTACTATACATTTAGTTATTTTGAGCAAGTCTCTCCAAAGTCTGCCCTACTGTACCTTGTCATTTAGAGAAAGTTTAACCGACTGTGCTTTGTAATTTTGATAAAGTTTTTCCAGTCTGCCCTACTGTACTTTTAGTCATTTTGAGAAACTCTCACCAAAGTCTGACTGACTTAGTTTGAGTAATGACAGATATTACTGCAACATGTACAAGTAGATAAACTGGTAAGTCTTAAATGGATTGGTATTACAGCAATGTACCAAACTATTTGTTCTTTCAATATTTCTCTCTAGTCTTCCACTGCTAAATTAGGGATGGCTAGTGCAGATAGCCCTCGTGTAGCTTTGTGCAAAATTCACAACAAACAAAAATCTTTCAGTGTGGACCTTTGAGTTGTAAGAACTGACATTGGAATTATGTTAACCTGAATGTCATTTAATACATGGGATGAACAATTAGGTCAGAGACCTCTAAGCTTCAGGTTTAGCCGTCCTTAGTTTTGAACTACTGAAAAGGTGTAGAACAGCCAATCAACAGCACTATTGTCCACAAGGACGTAAATAGGGTGTGTGTGTTAGCCCTGGTGTAGAGCTCTGGATTTCATAGTTTGTTACCTGGGCTCAAATCCGTACGATCTGACAAAATATCCCTCACACTTTAGTCTGCATTATAGGTGTGACACTCAATCCTTTAGTGTAGATGGTGGTATGGTGCTGATGGATGGTTTCCTTCCTATTGGTCAATAGTTCATGATTAGGGACAGATAGCTTTAGTAATAAATTTGAAAAAACAAGTGCCATAAGTCAGAAATGTGGTTTTCAATCTCATTTATGTTTATGTAAAGTTTAATTTGAAATTTTCAAACTAAATCTTGACTACAGGGCTGTTGTCCAGTTTACAGAAATACAGCAAAGTATCAACAATACTTCATGAAACCTAATCTCTAATACAAGACAGAAAACTCAAGGGCTACCCCTCAAAGTACCAACAATACTTCATGAAACCTAATCTCTAATACTATACAGAAAACAGGGGAAGTTCTTGGGAAAGTATCAACAATACTTCATGAAAACTAATCTCTATTACAAGACAGAAAACAAGGGTAGCCCTTGGGAAAGTATCAATAATACTTCATGAAACCTAATCTCTAATACTATACAGAAAACAGGGGAAGTTCTTGGGAAAGTATCAACAATACTTCATGAAAACTACTCTCTATTACAAGACAGAAAACAGGGGTAGCCCTTGGGAAAGTATAAACAAGACTTCATGAAACCTAATTTCTAATACTAGACAGAAAACAGGGGTAGCCCTTGGGA